TTTTTTTTGGGGGGGGTTCTTTGTTTTTTAATAGCATTTTTAATAAAAAATGTTTTTTTTATTGCATTTTTAATAAAAATGTTTTTTTTTATTGTCCAAACAGTACCCGTGCAGTCGCAGCCTTTATACGGCTGAATTGATGCAGGGTATCACATAATAATCAATACAAATCACAACAATTACAACAATCAAATAATACACAATCATGATACACATAATATTTGACATGTTCCACAATTGTTTTTAATAAAAATGTGGAACTGTCGCAAGGGTCTGTGCGGCTGCCATTCGGCGCCACAAGGTGACCTCAATACGACTTTCCCCAACCGAAGTTAGGTACCCATTCACACCTGGGTGGAGTGAGGAAAGTCGTGTAAAGTGCCTTTCCCAAGGGCACAACGTCGGGGCGCATGTTCAGACATGTCCCAGGTACGACTCGGAATGGAACCCGGGTCTCCCCTGTTCATAGTCGATTGCTCTAACCACTACACCACCCGATGCTACACTGGATTTTTTTCTTCATTTTTGGCGCGGGGTTTCTTTTTTGCACTGGCAATTTTTTCAGCCCGACACAATATATATAGGGCCCCGGGGACACATGCACAAGTCTAATAACTATGGGTGATTGGTTTAATGGCCTGTATCTTTAGACCTGCCACCTAAAGTTTGATCTATGTAGCCTGGGTACCAGATTGTACAGGACAATTTCTAGGCTCCAGGGCCAATATGCTAGCCTGGGTGCCAGACTGTTTCTAGGGCCAATACTGTAAAGGTCCGGGATTTCTCGGCTACAAGGCCAACATGCTAGCCTGGGTGCCAGACTGTTTCCAGAGCCTACACATGCCAATTTCTCAGCTTCAGGGCCAACATGCTATCCTGGGTGCCAGACTGTTTCCAGAGCCTACATGTACACATGCCAATTTCTCAGCATCAGGGCCAACATGCTAGCCTGGGTGCCAGACTGTTTCCAGAGCCTACATGTACACATGCCAATTTCTCAGCTTCAGGGCCAACTTGCTAGCCTGGGTGCCAGACTGTTTCCAGAGCCTACACATGCCAATTTCTCGGCTCCAGGGCCAACTTGCTAGCCTGGGTGCCAGACTGTTTCTAGGGCCTACACATGCCAATTTCTCTGCTCCAGGGCCGACTTGCTATAGCTTGGATGCCAGACTGTTTCTAGGGCCTACACAGGCCAATTTCTCGGCTCCAGGGCCGACTTGCTATAGCTTGGATGCCAGACTGAAATTCAACTAAACTAACACGGCGGTGCATGATATCTACAGTGAGATCATCTACCAAGCAGATCTTTGAAGGGTGCTGTATACATTTTCCTGTATTCTTTGCTATCATCATTACAGACTTTACCTTGTTGTTGCCCTTCCAGTGATGAGCTGATTGTGTTGTCAGCTGCCGGCACAGCTGCACTTCTCAACCTCAGACCAGAGGAAGCCATATTCAACAAAGGTGCGGGTCAAAACAAATTTCAAAGCTACTTTTTCTGTTCTTTCACTGATGTTGCTAATGGGAGCAATCCTAAGTCTGACACTTTTGTTAAAATAAGATTAGATCTTGTGACAGCCATGTCCAAGATGAAAACTATTAATATTAATATCTATATCTTTAATTTAATGGTAGCAGTCTGTGCTGTTGATTGACAGCACACAAAAGTAACCAAAGGATTTTGACTCGAGTTCTAGTGGATTTTAGGATCCCTCCTGTTATCCAATTTGTTTTGTTGGTTCTCGGTTTTGCATCTTCATTTTTTCTGATTTGCCAAAAATAAAGATTCTGGTTCTGAATCAACTCATAAATGCCTCATATTTTGCACCCAACAGTTGAGGAAAATCCCTTTCTTCCTAGCTCCCACGATTTTTCCATCTATCAATGCAGTGGTTTGATTAAAAGTTCAAAATTCATTGTGAAATATTAAGTTAAACCCAGCCTTTTGTGTTGACTTCATGACTTCTAATTGTAGCATTTGGTGCTATAATACCATGCCTAGACCTGTTTTTATTTCTATTTTTTTTTGCCGCTGCTTCATATTTTTTAATGAAATAAATCAGAGAACGAACAAATTAAATTGGTGTGGCCCAATCATTGTTTTTAAAAAACACACCTTGCACACTGGAATTCCAAAGTTTGAACTAGTTAAAAAAAGTATGTGTCCACTCACTCACTCACTCACTGTCCGGCTTATCGTCTGTTGTTCCCCGTCTTCCGAGGGTTAGACGTGCTTGCACAATACATCTGGGGCTTGATGGCAGCACGCCACTTGCCTCTGTCCTGTGGGTCAATTTTATCTAGGTTCAGGTGGTGGAGGTCCTCCCGTACGTTGTCATACCATTTTTATTTTCCATCAATAATATTCATTGACTAAACTTTAACCAACCAGATGTCTTTTCCCAGACCCCTCTCTGCGTCAGTCTGGCCTGCTGACATGTTCGCTGGACCGTCGTGACTTCGAGACGCTCCAGCAGGCACAGAGAGACACGTCGGCGGGGAGCGGGTACGGTCCCACTCTGCTAGAACGCAGCTTCGCGGTCAGGCGATCACTGTTGCATGGCCAGCCTGGGTTTGTACCATATCACACACACTGACACTCTCTGTGTTAAATGCATCCAATATGACTTCAGGGCAGCAAAACTGGAAATATTCTGAATAAAGCAATCTCTGTGATATTGACACATACTTTACTGCTTAACATTAGCACATTTGAGTCAGTATTTCATACATTGGGCTTTTAAAACAGAGCAGAAACAAGCCCCAAGATTTTCTGGGTGGTACCCTAAAAATCAGCCCAGGGCCCTTCCAGTAACCATTTCCGTGAGCATTTTGGGAATTTTTGCTCCATGAGGGTCAATATACATTGGGATAGTGTGTTTTCAACTCAGTGTAGATAAATGGCTAGAATTTTGGCTTTGAAAAAACGGGTTTCCAAGCCCTAAAAACTGCACTGGATGCCCTTAAAGGGACCCAATTTCAGGATAGTAAAACTAGATTTTCAAAGTCAACTTTCTGGTCATTTTTTACCTGATCCAACAGCATACTGATACATGTATCTGTGAGTCAAAATGATAATATTGCTTCCGGAAAACAGTTGCTTGTTTCATATCGATTGGCTATCCATTGGGGGGACCAAAATAAAGGACCCCACACATACATGACTTTGTACGTTTGTTTTAGGGCTATTTCAAATGCTTCAAGTATGAAATGATGATAAAAGTGTACTAAGAAATGGCAGCAAATGTCAATGTCAGACAGATTTTCTCATCCAGAATATTTTTTATTTTGCCGCCCTGAAATTGCACTGGATGCCTTTGCTGTTTGCTGTTATTTAGTTTTTCCCTGTTGTGCAAGGGTAAATCTGGATTGTTCAATGTCGGCATAACACACACGCTTAACATGTACAGATATCTGGCAGTGATTTGCTATTAGCACACTGAACCTAAACCTCTCATATGGAACTCCAGTTGCTTTGTTCATGTGAGCCTTCGTGTATTCATGAAAGCTGAAATCAGCCTGCTGGCCAATTTTATTCAGGTTATGAGGGAAGAACATGTAAGGGTCAGACAAAATATAAGAAAGATACAGGTTACATGATTATTAAATCGTGACAAGTCCTTAAAAATGAATGAATGAATGAATGAATGAATGAATGAATGAATGAATGAATGAATGAATGAATGAATGAATGAATGAATGAATGAATGAATGAATGAATGAATGAATGAATGAATGAATGGTTTATTCTGTAAAACAATTTGCACCCATCTGGCTGAAATACGTTTCACTTACATACAAGTCATGTACATGAAATAACACACAACTCGAGGTATAGATACATGAAATTTTGTATTTATGTCCCAGAATGATCTGGCACGCACGTTTAAGTTCTTTCAAGACCATGATTGTTTTTCCAGGACTTCAGATGAGGTTTCCATGAGCTGTAGTCCCTGCCACATCCCATACGATCGACTCAACACTCCCTTCCCTATTGTGTTAGAGAACTGTGCTGTCTGTAGGTGGGTATGTGTTAGAGAAGTGTGCTGTCTGTAGGTGGGTATGTGTTAGAGAAGTGTGCTGTCTGTAGGTGGGTATGTGTTAGAGAAGTGTGCTGTCTGTAGGTGGGTACATGTTAGAGAGCTGTGCTGTCTGTAGGTGGGTACATGTTAGAGAGCTGTGCTGTCCGTAGGTGGGTACATGTTAGAGAGCTGTGCTGTCCGTAGGTGGGTACAGTACATGCTAGAGAACTCTGCAGTCTGTAGGGGCCAGACCTTTATGGAAATAAGTAAAAATGGAAAAAATGAATTATAATATTTGTGTTTCTCTCCAGACATGGAAAGGTCCCAGATGTGCTGTTTACGACTATAGAGCCTCCAGTAGACCTGCCAGTTACTGGACATGGCTGTCTTATACAGGCTAGGTAAGTTACTGGACATGGCTGTCTTATACAGGCTAGGTAAGTTACTGGACATGGCTGTCTTATACAGGCTAGTAGGTAAGTTACTGGACATGGCTGTCTTATACAGGCTAGGTAAGTTACTGGACATGGCTGTCTCATACAGGCTAGGTAAGTTACTGGACATGGCTGTCTCATACAGGCTAGGTAAGTTACTGGACATGGCTGTCTCATACATGGCTGTCTCATACAGGCTAGGTTTAAGGAGGACTCAATACACAGCAATACACACAATACACATAACCCTTGCAACGTTGTTTTCCATTATTTTTGCTTTTGGCAATCACTTAAATCTGTACTGTAAATGATACCAACAATTGGTTCTTGATATGCAGTTTTAATATAATTTGTTTTGTGTTTCAGGGTGTGTCGGGGGAAAAGGAAGCTACAAGGGGAGGCCAATGCTGCAGCTGTCAGTGATGTAAGTTTGATGTTAAGTTTAAAAGTTTGATGGTGACTTAAAATTAACCATCAAACTTTAAAGATTTTTCACTCGTATAATATATTAATATGCAAATCTAAAAAATAATGGCGCTTTTTTTTTCAATTCGTAAGGCCACAGCAAGTAATTTTTATGGATGACATCAGCATGCGCATTAATTTTTGCCTGATTTTGAAAAAAATACAAATTTTGTTGCCTTCTCACAGTGGTCAACATGCCGAAAATGGGCAAAGATGTCTGTTGCCATGCCGGAAGGTGGATGACAGATAACTATGAAGAGAGGAGACAAGAAAAGTCTCTGATTTAATGTCTTGTTTCTTACTTTGATGCAGTAATATGTGATGCTGGCTGTGTATATATGATGTTCCTACTGAATCAAAACCATTTGTACAATGATTGAGTCAAAATTTTAAAATGTAGGAACCCTCAAGTTTTTTTTTTGGTCTCTCTTGTTTTTTTCACTCGCATTAGATTTGGAGTCTGCGAAGGATGTTATCCATAAAATTTACTTGCTGTGGCCTAATTTTAAAATAAGTGAGAGAGTGTTTTTGTTTGAGTGTGAGTTTTATGGTTTTTGTAATTTTCTCTCTTGACCTTTCTGCTGCAGGTCCTGCCCTTCATGGAGTATGAACTTCATCGGCAGCTTATGCACAAACTCAAGGTGAGTTGGATATACAGCCAAAACTGTCCAAGATGACCAGTACAGTCTGGTCCATGTGGACAGGTGGTCACTATAGATCTAGCATAATGCTTGTGTCAATGGGGAAAAAAAGTTTTGCCCGCTCAATCTTCCTGCCAAATTTTAGGTCATTTGGCCCCAAAATGACGACATTGAATCCTTTTATGGTAGAAGGAGGAGGAGAGAAGAAATTTGACAAAAGACAAATATATTTCATCATCCACACCTATGGAATGAAGTAAAGTATAACTAGATCTCAGGAGCTTCTTGATTTTCACATTTTTCACTTGATTTTTGGAGAGAGAAGAGTATAGGACTGTTGAATTTTTTTTATAGTATGTTTGATGGTAGTGGTTACATTGTATCTTTCACTGTCAACATGCCATATCAGCGCATTGCTAAACCACGCATATTAATAGTAACAGAAAGGATTTAAACTGAATACATCTCACAAATATCAAACTCAAAAATGTAGAAGCTTTCAGGTGGCATCAGCCATCTTTCTTCAGTTGCTGATGGTCACGTGATGACAGGACGAGGGTATATGGGGGGTAGTCGGTGGCGGCTTGGTTGCGGTTTAAGGCGGTTTAAGGATGGGTAGAGAGCTCTGATGTGTACTGCCTCTAGCTCTTAAACCCCACACTCAAACCATCTGCTTTCTCTACCAAGCATGGCAATGTTAATGTTTAAAGTTTTCATCACAGTTTTCTGACTTTTCCATATCCTTCAGGCTAAGAGCATGAACAGCCTTTTTGGACTGAATGTGGAGATTTCAGTGGGAGAAACTCTCATCATAGGAATTGCAGTAAGTACATGTCTGATTATGATATTTACATTGAATGGGAAAAATCCTTCCTTATCAGCCTTGTAACCCCTGCTTCTTCTATTGGGCCAGTTGTTCCTCACTCCAAGTGAGCATTTGAGCTGGTCTCAATAACCATCTTTCTGACTTAGGGAGAAGAGATGCTGGTATAGTCCTGACATGTAACCTGTAACCTTGGAGTGGCCTTAGGGTACATCAATGTAACAGTGTGTGCTCTAGCTAACATCGCATGCGTTTCACACGCTCCAATTCAGGGTGTTAAATTGCTAGTTGTCAGGTTTTGATGAATGAATTTTGAAGGCATTCATAGAAAGAACAAACTCGGATAAGAAATGCATTCATTCTGTTCGTGAGCCCTTCACGCTCCGCATTACAAATGTGGCAAATGCTGTGAGACATTTTCATTAATGTACATAACTTGCATTTGTACATGTACAATCATACATACATGACTTGTAATGTACAGTCATGTAGTTTTTCTGTCTGGGTTTGGCCCATGTGATTATTATGGGAAAACACCGTATTGAACATTAATATCCTTTCCTTGCCAAAGTACGACATAAAATGTCATGAATATTATACAGTCTGTACCATTTTGAAGGTGAGCTACATGTATGTTGAGCAGGTTAATTATCAAGCTTCCCGTCTTCTGTTGTTTGATGAGTTTTTATTTGACAGCACCTTGAAGTTGTTGCTCTCTGTAAGTAGGAGTACTAGCAACAGCCTGTTATTTGCCAATCTTAGAACCGACACGTTTGACTCGAGACATACTTTTAGGAAACAATATATTTTGTACTGTCTCGTTTGTCACTTGGCTGCTTCACAGTGATAATACGATCATCGCTACGCTAACTCACTCTGACGGCTACAACCTCAGTCTCAGCACATTCTGGAGGCATTACATTAACCTGCATGTAGTTTTTAAGAAGTTTATTCTTCATAGGTCTAGCTTGATTATTGTGGTATTAGTTATAATAACTAATACCACAATAATCAAGCTAGACCTATAAAGAATAAATTACCATGCCTTCATCTTTTGTCTCTCTGTTCTTGATGTGATATGGGCCAGGGGCCTGAATTTTAAAGAATAAAATGAAGAAATTTATTTTTATTTCATTTCTACAGACAGCAACTGCAGCATTTTTGTCAGCCCTCCCCGTTCCTGGACCACTGAAAATTACAGGGAAGGTACGCTAATCTTCCTTTTTCATGTGACTGTATGATAGTTACATTTTGTAATGTAATATTTATTATGTTTCTATTATGTACTTCTTCTTTTGTACTGCTTAGCCCAATAACAATTGGATTATTAGCAACTCCACATGTGTTACTTTTAGTGTAGTTACAAAACAAGTAACTGATACAAATAAAATGGAAATGAATAAGGGCATTAAGAAACATAAATCACTGATTCTGTATAAGAGACAAGACAAATGAATTTAGTGTGTTAGTAATATAATTCATATAATAATACTTGTACAAGGTGTGTGTATATATAGGGTTGACTCAATGCAGCAGGGTCCTCGTCAGTCCAGTTTTGAACAGGGCGAGAGACCCCGCCTCCGCCACACCAGGCTCAAGTTTCGTTCAATTCTTTGATGGTACGAGGGAAGAACGAGAGCCTGGGGTGGCCTGCATACTTTTTATGAGAAGTTATTAAAATTAAAGTTACTGGTTTCTTCTAGAATGGGTCAGAACAGAAGGTGTCTGCTATGCAGAAGAGAGTCCAGGACATGCAGGCCAAGAACAGGGACATCTACGATCTACAGCACCTGGTCAGGACAAATATATTCAATACTTTACAATTAGACAAGATATGTAAGAAAATGTCAAAGCAGAACATGTTTAAACACTTGATGTCATGCAAGAACAAATGTATAGTAGACAAACTATGTAATTATGTTTCCAGATGTTTCAAAAAGAGAGAAGAAAGGGCAACTAACAGTAGATGATAGGTATACTGTTGTAATGTATAGAATCCTAGCACTTAGCATTAGAATATAGCATTCCAGTATTCATATCCTCTTGTGCATTTAGCCCATCTGGGCAAGAACATGCAATAAAGATTTATATCATTATAGAATACTACACGGTGTATTCCGGGTCTGATGGCCCGGAGGAGGGAGATCTGACCCGTTGGAGGGCAGGGACCAAGAAAACACACATTTAAAGTGTGGCAAAATTTGGTGTCCCTAAACAATATCACTTCCCATATCCAAATCTGGCATGTGAATTTTCAAAAGCAGGCAACATGTAACATGTACAAAACACGTTTGAATTATTGTATGGAATGTTTGGAAGCCCAGAACACCCGTATCTAACGTTATCACGGCCCAGCTTTGGCATGATATTACTTACATGTACTGTACAATGTACAATCATGTATGAGTGTACTATACATGTACATGTACATGTATGAGGAGGTTGTCAGTAATTGTGTTTACGGCATATGAGCAATTGACCATACTGATTTAATTATACATGTAGGCATCCATTACTGATGCAACCATAAAGAAAAAATGTTGGGCAAAACAAAATGTGACTAGTTCATGACGAAACCTAAGTGCTCAGGAATATTTTTGACGTATATTATTAACAATACACACAACAGGAATGTTGAAGAAATGACAGTGAACACACTGAATATTGATGTGTCCCTTCCTACATGTAACTAAACCTCCATGTGTGGTCGTATATCCCTGTCTGTAGTCTTCTGAGCCCCCAGACGTCACAAAAGAGGAAGATGAGAAGGTAAAATAGGAGTCTGTCCTGTTGTGGATTAAAATGTCTAGACGTCTGGAAACAAGATTGGAAGTAGGCAAACATATTAAACCTCAGGCGACGTCAGCAATTGTTCAGTACTGATGTATTGTTTAAAAGCATGCAGTTCAATTAAGGTCTTGTGTAGAAGTCCTGAATGAAAATGAAATTGTTTTTAACCGACTGAAAAGGAGACACACAAAAATACTGGGCAACAAAGTTCTTGGCAGTCACCAGCAAGGCTTGGTGAAGATGCTAATTTCCTCTCATATACAGTCATTGCCATTTGAAATGGTTGACAAGTAGAAAGAAAATTAATATTTGAGAAAAAATGTAAGAAAAACAACATGTAGACCAGTCCTGCATTTTCTAAGAAAAGAAAGAACCTCTGGGAGAACTAGTAGTACAGTAACTGTGCAGTGCATGACTGAAAAGTTTCATCTGTCCAAATTTGTCTTTGCATGTGAAAGCTTTTTTTTCTTTTAGGAAAAGTTCTTTGAAAGTAAAAACAACTACTTAATGTTCTGTATGGCCTTGATTCAGAAGGATGAGCATTTTGAAGAAAAAGTAAATGAGTCATACAGTGTTCTAGCCACTGTTTGTTCATCAGTTATTGGACAGAATTTCGCCGCTAAACAACAATTTTGCCCAGTCCATCAAGATTTCAAATTTTTTCAGGAGAGTATACATGTAATCCCCTGACTACGTACCCTAGGGTTGTATAGTGCCTTCGGTGCTCGACATAAAATTGAGATGACAAAAAAAATCTGGCTGGCTAGAACACTAAGGGAGTCATATTTCCAACTGCTACATTGTAGTCGGTAGATCTCACAAAGTATTACATGTGACAGCCTAATTCTTATTTACATCTCAGCAACCTTACAATCATCTAGTAGATGGGCTGATACGGTCTGCCTATTTACCGGAATACACCGGAAAACACAGTTAAACACCGGAAAACACCGGAAAACACATATAGGAGGCTAAAATCTACCGGAATACACCCTGCTTAGACGAGATAACATCCCAAATTGCTGTGTTTTGACCATTAAATAGACGTGTAAATCGCCGCAGGAACCCGGAAACAAGAAATCATTATAATTTAGCGATCGGTGGAGGCGACCCGACAGTCGCCATGTTTGTTTACATTGCGGACTACGATGTTTGTTTAGCGCCATCACAGAAGAGAATTGATTATTCAGATTGATGCGGTTCCCATACACAGTGCACACAACTCCGAACTAGTTGGAAGAAAGATAGTTGCATAGGATGCCCGTGAATGATTGCTACGAGGTCGGTCTGTTGGATAAAAGCGCAAAAATCCGACGATAAACTGCCAGACATTTTCCGGAAG